GGATATCTCTCTCTCACAAGATCTCATAGCCATCTGTTCACGGTTAATACTTGTGAAGCGTGAAAATTATGTCAAGGAAAGAAACGAAACAAATTATTTACATGAAAATTTTTCTTACATTCTGTTTTTTTTGATCTTCTGATATTTTGATATATCTTAGTGCTATTTTTGTAAGGGTCATGGCAAGGGAAGCACCAACGAAGAAATCTCCTTTTAAGAGATAGCCACGAAGCGGCGGTCTGCAAATAGAACATATTATTGTCAATATTGATGAAAATGAGACTCCAATATATGCACAGGGCTTGAACTTTACAAAGACATTGTCTTGATTGGTGCCCTTTGATAGTTTCCCATTTTATTCTTATGTGTTAGGTCATTTTATAAATCTTGTACTTGAAATGGACTTCACTAACTTAACTGACAAAACAGACACTACTGTAAAATCTGTATTAGAAGCCGCGGCTTCTATTAAAATGGTACAGTGCAACAGAGGGGATGCGGCTTCTATTAGAGCACCTACACATATGAGAAATGATGAATTTTTAGTTCTCAATTATTCAAAAAGAATGGGTGCGACTTCTATTAGGGATGCGGCTTCTAATACAGATTTTACGGTATATACTATTTACCTATTATCTTCTTCCATCTGTCTTGTACTCACTGAGCTCAAAGCACTCTGTGTTGCGTATGTGCCCATCTCAGTAACCAATCGCTGTCCATATGTCACAGCTCTCTCATCTGAAAATGTACACATCTTGGTTTACTTTGTTGTTGGCCACATGAATTAAGATTCTTGTTTGACATAATAACTCACAAAAAATAAGCAAAATTTAAAAGCATAATCAATTCTTGAAAATGAAAAAAAAGCAGCCTGACAACTTTCCATGAAAACAATTATTTCCATAATCATAGAGTACAACTTTGCAACATTTACGACGAAAGTGCCTTTCAATTTACATTGCAGGCCCAGGAAAAAATACTGCCTCAAAAACTTCTCACAATTTACTTTCAACAGCTATGGGTATAACAGATCTATGGATGTATCACATACATATCATTACAGGTTCCCTCGCTTCACATTTCAACCACCCCTATCAAACAATGGAATCACCCACCATCTTCTGATTCGCCGGCAGCTTTCTTCAGTTCTGAGTCTACCAATGGTATATCACCTAAAGCTGTTCGTATTTCATACATAACACTTTGGATATCATCAGATGTCGTACAATACTCTCCAAGGATCCACAAGGCTGCACGATGTATCCTGAAGTACATGTACAAGACAGATAGATGAGGCAATGAGGTGAAATAAATTAACAATGAAAATTTAGACCTCAATTAGCAATCAAGTCCTGCCAGGAATTTATAAGATATGGACACACAACTTTGATATCTATGCACGTTAATACCAATGAAGATCCTATTCCATGTGTTACACAACTGAATACATTTCTAAACAATGACACCAGAGAATGCAGGGGACACTTGCAAAGTGTCAAGTCAAGTCTTAACCCATTCACCAACAAACTTTCCCGCCCAACATTTTTCTGCACTTTTTTCTTATATTTTTCAATATTTTTGGGAATACACCTTAATTTTTTAGCCAACTGACATAATTTTAGTCAATTTTCAGTTTTTACCCAAAAAATTTGGCTATTTTTGTCCCAATCTTCTGAAGGAAAGTGCAGACTATAATAGGGACTATTTTGTAAATTTGTGATGGAAAGAGGGAACTGGTGGTGAAAAGGTTAACACTAACCAGTTTTTTTACAGACTTCCGCATGCGCATTAATATTTCCAGAAAATTTAATGATTACATGTATCTTAGACACATTTTTTTCAATTCATGCATGATCTTCATCAGACAGTACTTTTTTTTATAAAACTAAATGAACCATGCATTTAAAGTAAAATCATAGTCCAACACAAAATTACCACGACTGGTCTATTCTGAGGCTTATTCATTGCTATGAATCATTCCTGATGCAGAGATGTTATGGAACTCGGGAGTGGAACACTTGTAAACAAGCAGCCTATCGGCTGAGATAGCTTTGCTGTTAGCAATGCACATTTCAATTAAAGAACTGAAGACATCATTAGAAAATGAACAATATGTATAGTATCAAAGCAATCGGACTTACAGTTTTTAACAAGAAGTCGAAAATATCACTTTTTACCAAAAATGACAAAAATATTCACCAAAATTAGAGAATTGAAGATATCATCACAAAATGAACAAATCTGAGAGAGGTCCACATGTA